ACAGGCTCTAGAGCAATGTGGATATCCTAACTGGGCCTTCCTGAAAGCAGAGAAGAAACCCAAACAGGACTCCAGTCAGCCAACAGGTGAAAAGGAGGAACCCAGACCCAGACCAGTGGTCATTCCATATGTTGAGGGAGTATCAGAGAAATTGAGACGTTTATTTTCTAAACATAACGTCCCAGTGGCTTTTAAACCCCAAAATACATTACGGCAAAGACTGGTTCATCCCAAAGATCCAGTCCCCCGGCACAAACAGAGCAATGTTGTGTATGCTGTTCAGTGTCAGGAGGGCTGTGATCAGTCTTACATCGGGGAAACAAAACAGCCACTGGCCAAAAGGATGGCCCAGCACAGAAGATCAACATCATCAGGCCAGGACTCTGCGGTCTACACTCATCTCCAGGCCAGCGGTCACTCTTTCAGGGATGAAGATGTTCACATCCTGGACAGAGAGGAACAATGGTTTGAGAGAGGAGTAAAGGAGGCCATCTTTGTGAAAAGAAATCGTCCATCGTTAAACAGGTGTGGAGGCCTCCGGGTTCAACTGTCCCCCTCTTACAATGCTGTGATTGCTAGTATCACTCAGCCCTCTGTGAACAGTAAACAGCCATCAGTGTGCTAATGATCCATTGTTAGGCTGATAGTCCTTCTTGAGCATGTGATCAGCTGGTTTTGATTGTCAGCAGCAAAACTGGTTGATCCACTCTGAGACGGTGCTATTTAAGAGACTGAGCTGAATACAGCTCCTCAGACTGAGGAAGTCTCTCGGATGAGAGTCGAAACGTTTCTACATTTTTTGTTGATTTGCTTTGTTTTGTTTTTTTGAATGTCCAGAGGACCAGATTTAACTTTTTTAGATAAGCCTTCAAAAGCATGTGAAACCAAAAACACCCAACCGGTGGACCCAACTCTGACCGAACAAGAAAGCCTCCTCTGCGAACTGAGACAGTCAGGGCCCACCGGATACTACCTACCATTGGTAGTTAAAGGTGTAGAGATCCAAGGATCCCACACCAAAGATGCTGTACTGTCGCCGGGGACAGATAAATCAGCTATCAAGGACGGAGCCGTGGACGGCCCTCAGTGGTCCTCTGACCCCTCCGGGCTGCTCGCACCTCTGTCAGTACAACCTACAGCCAAGGTAATGGCAGTCACACGTGCACAGGCTACAGCCAAGCCGGCTGACAACACAGTCTCTGTACAACCCATGCTGACTGATCCAGACATCATCCAAC